CATACTGGGACTTCTTAGAAAACAAGATCTACCCAGACTTTCATTTGCTTGTTGTGTATAAATGGACCGTCATAAAGGAGTCCTTCAAAACATCTAGTTTTGACCTCATGAATACTTCAGGGGAATGTCAAATCAAGAGAATACTCTCTGAGGATACAAATACCTGGCTCATAACCATTGTTTGGGATGATGGCTTCCCAACATAAGCAGAGCCTGCCTTAGACGAGTTTCCCAGACTGTCCATGGTGATGCCATAGGAGAGTGTAGAAAAGTCACATTATCTGTTTCTGTGGAGAAGATGTACAGTGTTGGGTCTGAGAAGTCATTCAGATCACTTGCAACCTGTCCTGAGAAGGCTCAGCAAAAAAAAAATCCTGGAGAGAATTACTAGAGCTGGAGGCAGATTGCCAGAAGAACCAGCAATATTTGGAACTAGAGAACTGGCCTTATCACTCACTGAAACTGGATCAGCTTGGACACTTTTGAAAACCTCTTGATGAATGCCAAACCCTGTGGAACCCCTCTTTCTTCTTCTCTTCCACTATATTTACTAAATTGTTAGCTATTATCTCTACTTTCCAAATTATCTAAAGCTTTATCTATAATTTCACTCACAAGTTCCCTGCCACATCTTTCCTCTTTCCTATCCCTCCATTTCTAGGCATCTTGCCATGATTACACTCTCTGACAAAGACAGTCAATTAGAGTTGGATGGGCTACCTTGAGCAACCAGACCCAGAGTAAGTCAGAACATTATATTTTACATATAAATATGATGTTCATGAACATAGTTAAATTATTAATGTATGTATCTAAAATAAGTAACAATGCTGGCCCATAATTGGAGTTTTAAATGCTAGGTATGATCAGATTATAATGAATTTCTGGAGGCAAGTGATAGCAGAAAACATTAACTAAGCACTTTGTAAAATATATGGGGTAAGTGTGGGTGTGAGCAGGAAAAAAGAGCACTGCACAACAGACGATGCTTCACAAAATCTTATTCTGAAATGTCTATTAAAAAAATTCAAGGAACTCAAAAATCCACAATGGCCCAATTACACGATTTACTGGGCTTCCATTGTTTTGGGGGATTTCACTGGGAAATACAAGGTATAGAACTTTATATTTACTATAATTTTATAGAAAACTGTTTGATTTCTAGTTATCTCATAGAAAACTTGTGAGAGAGGCCTCTGCATAATGAGTTAACAATCTAAAACCCAATCCTATAAATAATTATATCAATTATTCCCATGTATAACTTGACTCATGCTAACAGTTCCATTGACTGAATGAACTGACTCCATGAATAAGGATTCTCAAGTTAAGGTCTTAATAATGCACTATCTGACAACCAAAGATATAACATACACCAGAAAGCAAGCAGAAGGATACAGGTTAAAATTATGGGACAGCGTGGTCAGTCATTTTAGATATATATATTGCCTGCTCAGATATGTATTCATGAACACCATAGTATATGTACAATAAAGTGTGCAAATGTTTCTGCAAATACAGGAGAAAATATTTTAGAGATGATATAAAAATAAGTGAAAATTCATTCTTGCTATTAAAATTATTTTAAGCGTAATTTAAATTGGGAGAGGATGAAAACTTAACAACTAGATTTTAAGAAAGACATTTCAGATGTAGGAAGCAGCAGAAAATAAGGGACCGATTTTTATTAGATGATATGAAGTAGCAGCGTGAGCAAAGAAGAGAAGCTAAAAGAAACACAAGAGATGAGGTCTGAGTTGCTGAGCTGTGAAGACCAGAATAATGTTGATATGCATGGACAGTAAAGGGGCAGGGGTGGAGGGGGGCAGAAACAGGCTTCAATGTAGTAACAAATTAATTGTTTAAGCTATGGCAAGGTCACAGTTGGAATATATTGAAGGGTAGGAGGGTTAATATAAAAAAAAATCCCGAGGGTTAATATAAAAAAAAATCCCTCTGCAGATGGGAGAACAGAGTGGACTAATCTGTCCTGGAGGATATTAAGGAAAAGGAGATTTTATGTAACATAGTGGAGAAAAGTGCACAGGCTGTTACAGGTGGGACACTTGGATTCTGGATGTGACATACCATGAAAACAGATGTTGTCAAAAAAAGACCAAGAAATAGGACTTTGAGTGGGTTTTTTTTATATTGCTGTAACTTAATAGCATGCACCTTCTAAACCAAACATGTTTTCTGTTTTTACATCTTTTCAACCCATTTTGGAAATGATGGCAGAGAACAGTTATTTCCCTTTTGATTTTTATCCTTTTCTCTTGTACATTTTATTCTCCTTTAAATTCACATTGGGGTTTTATGTTACAGTTTTTACCCAAAATCTTGGGAGGCAGAGGGCAAAAAATCCACATCTTCAAACTGTAGGCTTGTACATTATTGTTAACAAATGGACAAAAATACTACCTATGTGGTCAGCCAGCACATCATAAGGGTTTATGATGATCATGTACAGCAGTCTGTTACCACAAGCCCACAACTGCAGGGTGTTTCAGTCATTTCCAGCCTCTTTGGGCAACAGCATCAACTTTACCAGAGACCTGTTCAGATCAGGCCTCGTTCCCTTTCATTTAGCTCCTCGTGTTCTGAACCACCAAGGGCCTGGGGCAGGCTCCACAGCTGCCTCCTCCTGCTCTCAGATGGCGCGGAGCCTGGGGTCCTTTTGCTCCTCTTCCCCAGCAGCAGGAGTGGGCCTGTCCCAACCCTCTCAGTTGTTTTCACATGCCTGGGAACCTGGACACTAGCAAAGCCACTAGACCCACGCCGAGCACTGCTGCTCATCAGGGAGGAAGGCACACACTTTGCCAGCGGGTTACAAATCCTAGTACAATGCTGAAGTCTGGGAATTCAGGCTCCTGCCCCAGGCTGTTGGAAGGAAGTGTGATGGAGGGGTTACAGCGTAGCTAAAGCGGTTCAGGTCGGTACATTTGGACCAGTATTGCCAACTCCCATGATTTTTGGTGTTGTTCTTCAAGTCTACACTTCAGGAATGTGAAAAACATAGCTCCTCCCAGCTCTGCCCATTTCAGGTAGTTAAGTGACATGGGACTTCAGTACTTGACCACCTCTAAAGTGGGGGAGGGATGAGGCCTTATCACAAGGGCCACAGCAGGCCCCAAAGTGCCAAGGGCAGTCAGAAGAGGGCAGGCGCCCATTCAGGCACGGTCCCCAGGCCGCACAGCACTTCCAGACAGGCTGGGGGGCAGACCGTGACTGCGGCACAGCCACTTAGCACCTCCAAAGTGGACCTGCCCCACTTGTGTTTTTGGTGCTTGGCTGCTGGGACAGGGCATGAGCTAGCTGCAGTCCTGGCATGCAGCCAGACAGGCTCATGGATGCCAGGCAGCTGTGGCGTGTCCTCCCCCCTCCAACCTGCCACCCCTCCCTCCAATCCTTCACTGTCCCGTCATGCACCACGCCTGGCCTCACTCCCCCTTTTCCTCCCCAAGCCCAGAGCAACGCTCTGCCTCCAGGCTAGCACCAAGCCCCGCCCCACTGCACGAGAAGCCCCGCCTCCTCCCTCCGCGAGCCACCGCCTCCTTCCGCCTTTGCTATCCCCCCCTAGACCCCCACCCTCCTCCGCCCTGATTGGTCACAGGTGACGGCTTTTCAGCGCTTCCTTTCCTTTCATTGGCCCCGCGGCCTTGCCAGTCAGCCCCAGCGTCCCCGCCTCTGATTGGCGGTGCGGGCGGGCTGGCCTGTCAGGCAGTAACTGAGTGGGGCTGGGGGGGTGGTGAGGAGGGAGGGGGGAACATCTGGCTGCTGCAGCCCGGGCTCGTCTGTGCGGCCGCCCTCGCCTTGCGCGCGTGC